CTTACCTACCATGGAACTTGACCCAAACGACGTCCAAGTCACGTGATTAAAATACAGTTGACCGTCACGACCGTGGAAAATGTCTTTTATGTTGTTTTTTTTTTTTTAAGTAATTATTTACGATTAGCATAATAAATTTCATAAGGTACGCTGTCAACATGAAAGAGGATTGTCTATATCTACAATATATATTCTATACTCTAGGCGGTCATTGTTTTCAATTATTGCCGTAGGTATGTGAAGTTAATTTCCATTCTAACTCTATAAAATATGTACCTATGCAATTTAGATACACCTAATATTTTATGACTTAAACAAGTGAACCACTTGGTGACATTTTTAAGGTATACCTTATAGATGTCAATGTTACCTTTAATATGTATGTAATGAGACAGGTTGATCACAAAGGAAAAACTTTTAATTCAGTGAAAATCGTTTTGCTTAAAAATGTCTTGGTAAATGTCGAGATGATCGATCCCACCCCGAAGGGGGTGGGGGTGGGTGGGATCGAAAGAGGAGGTCTCCCCCACTACGGTACCATAAAAAGTTCGTGGCGGTCTCACCCCCATAAAAAGTTAGGGGGTAAGATGGGGGTGGGGGTAGGGGGGATCGAAAGAGGGTGGTCACTTGAACAAAACCCGATAACCTAACCTAACCTACTCTATTGATAAAGATATTTAAATAATGTTTTATATAACTTTCTCAGTATTTTTATGTATTTTTCATTAGTTTTAGTTTTGAATATTGTTTCAGAATTGGCATATTTATTAACTTTGAACCCCCATAACTTTTTATGGGGGTGAGACCGCCAAGAACTTTTTATGGTACAGTAGTGGGGGAGACCTCCTCTTTCGATACCAACCCACCCCCACCTCCTTCGGGGTGGGATCGATCATCTAGACCTTTACCAATGTCTTTTCAATCCATCTTAACTTTTAAATAGAACAGTTGCTTATCTGCATTTTTGTTTTATTTCGTACATCAACTATTTCATTTAGCGAGTAATGCCGAGTTCTTGCACTTCGGAGACTTCAGCACAACTAATGAAATTGTAAAGTACCTCAGAAGACGGAAGATTAAGAACATGTCTGTCTAATCTTTGTGCATTAAATATTTCATGTTCCTTAGCTACTAGCAACACCATTGAAAATTTCAGTTCATAATCTCTGAACTTCTTAATCCGGGATTTGATAAACTTTGGTCGACGCCAATGTTTTGTACTATTATTCCCCCTTGGAATGTTAACATCGCAGCCCTTCATATATAATACGTCTGTTCGTTTGAATATAATCTCGTTTCGAATAATTTGCATATACAGAATTTGAGCGAAATGAAATTTTCACTGTAGACCAAAATTATTATCCAAAAGTTATCGGTTTATTGGAATGCAATTTAAATTGCATAGTAGATGATATACCTACTGTAATTGTTTTTTCAAATATGTCTTCGTATACAGAGTGTCTTACCGGACATATGGATATCTTTGTTAATAGTAGAGATAGAGGACGACTGTTTTTTCAAGGCACACCATCATATAATTCAATGAAATATTAATAATTCGGTTGGTGTTCTACGTCGTTTAGAATACGGCCGAATATAACTATAGAGTAGTTTTTTTTTGTATGCGTTCCGGCAATATAATTTTGGCTGATGTACCTAATTAATAATTGTGACTCTGGTATCATTCGATCGTGTTTTGAGTAGTATTCCAATGTAGCATGTGACATACCTACAAAATATCGCTGGATTGATACGTGAAAAAATCTACTTTTGCGTTCATAAAACAATCTGAAACCAGTGTATGTTTCTCGGAATTGATTGGATAAAATAAAATAAAAACTACACCATTCGAAAGCGTATAAAAAGTTAAGGAGAATGTTCTTGAAACAGATTATCGATAATTCGAAAAATACAAAAATTAGAGCGCTATTTCGAAATTGAACTAGTAGAAATTCGTCCATTATCGATGCGGAATGCCTAAGAAATTCTACATTATTTTCCCTATTTAACCGAGCTCCTGTCTCTATTTTTAATCAAGACACCATTTCAACTCAAGACCGGTGGGACGTATATTCGTTTTAAAAATTATATTCTTAATTTATGTTAGTAAAAAGGACTCTAGACAGTCTTTTATTAAATTTTGCTAAAGAAATGGAATATATGAAATGATTCGATATTATACATACCTTGCGAATGCCTCCATCGATGGCATCCCCTGATTTTTGATGACCGACCCATCGTGCCTCGACAAATTATGAGGCATTCCGGGTGAAAGTAGCGCAGAATGAGCAGCGGCGGGATGAGGAAGTTGCATAAAAGGCATGTGGCCACCCATATGAGGTGGTTGATTGTAACCATTCGCTAATAGAGGCGATTTTTCCAACCGAGAAATATCTGGAACAAAACGATAACAAATTTAATATGTCATAACATAAAAATATTATTAACTACTTTTGTGCTACATTGAATAAAACTTTTGCGTGCTTCTTTCCCACCAACTATTACTACTAATGGACAGGCGGTCGTTCCGATTCATACATTAGTACAAAGCCGGAGCGTAGGGCGGAAGACCCCTGTTTAACCTCTCTTTTAGGAATCGTAGAAATAGGTGTTATGGAGAGGCAGTTTAGAGGGACAAATGAGGACAGAAGAGGAAAAAAGAAGACAAAGTACATAATAAATAATCTGTGACAACAGAGGTATCTTTTTTATTGTTTTCACATGGGACTGTAGTCATTTGCTGCAATTTGAACACGCCCTTCTTAATTTAGGAAATGCTTCATGATTAATACAGACAAAATGAAAAGAGATAACTGAATAATAGAGAGCGGTGCATCGGTTAAAGGTTGCCTAGGTAACGCAAAAAATCAGGGTCGGCTTTATACTGCCTGGTTGGAATCATATTGTTCAACATACTTTAAAGTCCGATCTGACAACACTCAAATTTTGCTTGTCTACATCTTTTTCTATTACACTTTAATTAGTATAATGTTATTCCTTTTTCTTTTTTAATTTCCGCTGCAATTCCTACCTGACATCTCTTTTCTATGTTTACGATATTCCCTATAAGGCAGAGCCGGGCAAACTTTAACTTCGTAGGAGCCGCTACATGAGGTTAGTTTGNAAAAATTGTATCACTTTAGTAATGATATCTTTTCACCTTCATCAGTTCGAGACGATACAAATATGAGACGTTGTCAAGTCGAGTAAAGCGACGCAGTAAGTCAACTTTTTCGCTTATGTGCATGGGAGGCGGGGTAAAAGAGCATAGTGCTGGTCAACTAATTCTTACAGTACAAGTGGTATTTGTAGGTTGAGAACCACTGGTCTTTGGGAACGTCCTTAAAGGCAAATTCCTTGATTATTTCAAGTTTTGACGTTCTTTTTACTTTGATTATGTTAATTGATACTATCTGACTAATTCCATCAGGTTTTGAGAGGTGCCTATTGTAATCCCAAAACATTAGAAGGGTGTTAGGGAAAATGGCTGTGTGAGCGGTAACATTAATGTTAGACATTTTGCTCTTTTAGGTGCATATATAGGAAGTATTTATTAAGTTTACCATCAACGAGCTTTTTAGGCCTCGAAAATGTTCAGCCACAAATATTTTATAGATATAGTTTTGTTGTAACAATTCACTGTTTCGATAACCCCGTTGTTCTCTTCATCGTGTTTTCGGCGTTTTAATTGCGCTCATAAATTTCGCCATCATCGGCGCAAAGTTCAGTAAATTTTTCAGGTCATTTGTAACTATAACGTGCGTTTCGACGGCCGTAAATTAATAGCGAATGGTAGCCTATAAATGTAATTATCTTTATCAACACCAATTAATACCTGTCCTAATTAACACTGAAGAGGTCTAGTTTGTGTTAAAAGAAAAAAAGGAAAAAGTTTAGAATGAGCTGAGTTTATCTGAAATTCTCTTAAGGGGTTGATCGTCCATAAAATACGTTACTCAGAACTATACCTTTTTAGACCCCTCCCTCTCCGTTCGTCACGCAAAGTTGCACTTTCAGCGACCCTCTGACAAATAATACGTCACAATTGCTAGCCCCCGTATAAACAATTTCTTGTAATTAAAAATAGCAATGATAATTACTTTCTATCGTAATGAAAAATTTTAAGAACTGTCAAGTTAAGAAAAGCATTAAAATTAAATTGATGATCTGCAAACGTTATATTTCCTTAGAACCCCCTCTCTCCTTGTCTCTTGCCGCTAAGTAACACCGCTCCTCCTTATTTGCGAATGTATTTTATGAACCACCCTTTGCAGTTTAGATAAGTATCTAATGAAAGCTTTGCTTTTTATCATTTAAGTCTTTTAAAAACTTTTTCGGGCTTGATTCTCACCAGCTACTCATATTGTTGGGCGGGCAGTACCTTCGCATGACACTGCAATGCAAAGCCGCACAGTAGGGCAGATGGTTGCTTGAAGTTGTTTTTTAGTAATCGTGGGAGTAGGTGGGTGACTGGCAAAATAATAACAGAAGATAAGTAAAAGATTATCTGTGGAATATTACTGCCCAAGCATTTGCCTAAATAATCCAAGGAAAATAAGAATCGAACCAGCATCCTTTCGGATATAATCTAGATTGACCACTCGACCACGAAACTTGGTCATTTACATGTAAGGAATTCCAATAAGTTTCAATTGTGAACCTCTTTCATAGAATTTGACGAAATACAACAGAATTTAAAGAACGATTTCGGGCAATTTTTTGTTCTTTTTGGGTTCCAAACAGCCACACTTTATAAGATTTAAGTTGGAACTTACGTTGACATTTTTTTTTCTATTTCTGTTAAGTAGTACTTTATTGACTAATATTTTAACTCTATATATTTCGGTTGATATATACAAGCAATAGTAAGATCATTAATTCTGTTCATAAAGAAAAACATATTCCATCACATTTTACGAAGATTTTTATAACTAGAACTTAATCTTATTGTCAGAATCAATGATTTACTGGTTGTTAGTTAAACTATGTAAAATCCTTACCTTTCCAAATGTTTTACAATGTCCTCGTAGGCAGCTCTACAGTTTTCCCAAATACCCGATCTGAAACGAGAAAATATACAAAGATTGTATCAATCTGTTCTTTAATTATATATTTGTTACAAATCTATTTTAATTTTGTTTAATATTTTCTATTTTCATTCTCACATAATTACACGTATAATACTAAAAACCGTATGTTCTCTATATTTTTGTTGCCTTTCCAAAATTTTTCATTGTTTTAACTTTTTCCCTAATCAAATTCAATACTTCGAAATCAGTATTTAAAATTACAACTTTATTTGAAGCTTCTTATTTTTAAGAAGATATTCTTAAATGAAAAAAAAATCGATTTCAATAAGGGTAATAATATTTTATTATTAGTGTAGAACCGATAATACCGTTTCGCCTCCTGTTGTGGGGCATTGTCAAGGTAGGATCTTTGGAAGGAAAACGTTGGTGTCGATTCTATATTTAAAATAGTGTCCGACCGAAAGTTCGGTTTCGGTTTCGGTTTCGGTCGAGTTTCGGCGGCAAATCTGCCGAAACTACGACCGAAACCGAAACTGCGTTCGGGAGTTCTCGCGCTCTGTTCGGTCATGTTCGGCGCGTTAAATTCCATCCAAGCAAAGTAAATTAGTAGACATTTCGCCGCGTCTAGGTGCATAATCTTTGTTTCTGTTGAAGTTTAGTGTCATTCAACATGACGAATTAAGTTTAGAAGAAGTTAATTTCTTCTTAATTAAGATAAAAGTGATTTATTTGTTTTGTTTATTANAAAGACTGCAGAGCTATGTGATTTGAAGATAAAAAAATAAAACTGACTGATTATAATAACGTTTTCTTTATTTTTCTCTCAAAACATGATCCTTATAAGGAAGTTTCGGTTTCGGTTTCGGTTTCGGCCGAAACTGAGATCGTTGCCGAAATTCGGTTTCGGTTTCGGTCGTAAAAACCAGTTTCGGTAGGACACTAATTTAAAACAAAACATTACTACCCTTATTGGCCTTGATTCTTTTTGACATACCAAACTAAGGGAAAGAAATGGAGAATAGATATTTTAAAATTATTATCACGTGAAAATTCATACGGAATAGGTAGGTACTTTGTAGAAAAGAAACATTAAATTGGAGAGCGAGAACAAGTATAATCACCGAGAGACAACATGCTGCTTCGTGGTACAATCAAGCAAAACCTTTATTATCATTTAAAGCAATTACTGACAAGAAATAAGAAAAGCCCGATGGCAAAACGAAAAGAACACCGAAGTGGACGACGCGACCGTAGCGGCAGCAACAGACGTTATAAATAACCGGCAAGTAAATATTTGTATTCGATTTATTTTTCTGTCTATCCGCGAAACAAATGCGAAACGAAGCAACCAACGGACTGGGAATAGAAGAAAAAGAATCAAACGAGGTAGTCGCGAACGGTCGATATAATAAGCTTCATATTTTCGTATGTCGATACTTTTCCCTCTTTAACCATCTCTGTCTATTGTGTAGTAGTAGATCTGTACGTATTTAAATTTGTGTATGTGTATAGGTACCTGGAGAATTAATCATGCCGATGGTCGTGACATGTGCACGCATCTACCGGCACGGATTTGCATTTTAATTACCAGCCAGCGTTGAAATGATAATGATGACTTGAACAACCGTGTAAACAAGTAGATATGTACAATCGTTCTACTCTCTGCTTGAAAACTAGATGTATTATTGTCTTACAAGGCGTCTAGTTCAACGATAATCGATAAAATCGATTTAAAGATCTACAATCATTGTGCCCATTTTGGATTAACTATTTCGGAGAATTGCCGAATCACTCACTCCTTTGCAAGACCCAAAATAAAGTGATCAGGACTAAAATGCATATTCTTTCTACTTGAATCACCGTTGCCTGATAATATCCCCAGGTACCCATGTTGCTAGTTATAGGTCTAGAAACATAAATAATTATCCTACGGTTCATCATCATCAGGTCGTCAGTCTGGTTGGACACGCACTTCCACTCTTTCCTATCCTCCGACTAGACCTTCATGCCTGGAAAGGTGTCCTACTAACCTATCTCGCCTATTTATTATTGACTTCCATAGAGTCCTCTGCTTTCCCACTTTTTCTAATACCTCTTCATTTCTAACCTTCTCTATCCACAGTATCTTCATCATTCGCCTGTTACACCACATTTTGAATGCTTCTAACCTTTTCTTTTCTGCCGCGCTCACTCTCCATGTTTCGCACCCGTACAGCGCCGTGCTCCAAACATACACCTTTAACAAACTTTTTCGAATTTCTAAATTAACCGTTCGCGAGCATAGAAGTGACTTCTTTTTATCAAAGGCGACTCGACCCTTCGCTATCTTCTGCTTTATATCCCTACCACTCTTTCCGTCCCGCATTATCTGACTTCCTAGAAAACTTAAATCGACCACTTCTTGTAATTTTTCGTCTCCTATTTTTATATTAGCTTTTTCCTTACTTTTTCTTCACTTGCATAGCAGTATTTTTGTTTTACTTTTATTTATTTTCATAGAGGGTATTGTTTTATCAATATCGCTTCCATTTCATTTAAAGCTGTCTCTTAACTCCTCTTGGTAGAGATCCTAAAAGCTGTTACCATATCGTTTCTCTATAAAAATTTATATTTCTATAAAGAAGACAAGCCCGGAACCTTCTCACATTTTTTAGATAGTTTCATGTTATTCTTTCATCATAAATACTTTATTGCCCTATTAATTAGTAAATTCATTTTTAAATATAGGTACTCTTTTTAGTATCTCTTATTGAAAGCCACACAACCCTGCGCTATCATCTGCTTTATATTTATAACTGCGTGTTGTTCGTTATACAAACTAAGTATCACTCTTCAATATTTGTAACTCATCCCTACATTTTTAAGTATATTTAACATCTTGTCCCATTTAACATTGTCAAAAGCTTGGTGGACATATATCTATCACGAGTCTTATTCTGCCATCTATAGGAGCAGCTTAACTTGTAAACTTAATTTTAATACGACGTTCTAAATCTGTCTACGACAAGTGTCTGTTGCAATGGTGCAAATATTTAACACCTATAACTTAGAAAATAAACAGTAATTTACTGTCTTTTCGAGATGAATAATCAACGAAATTATTAACACTTTTAGGATTATTTTCTCTTGGAAATTGCAGCAACGGGACGCGAGCTTTCGACAAAAGACTTCCGGGTCTAGATCGCGGAATTATTAGAGACAACGCATCGACATTATTCAATCGTCGAACAGGTATCCTTATTTTTCATAAGATAAATCACAATGTTCACGACCTCAGTAGAATTTTCATAATTAAAATTGGAACACGTACTTCTAGTAAGTTGTATTAATCGCCGATTTACGTCATTTTTTTTGTTCGCATGAATGAATTTTTTACACTGTATAATACGACATCATGAGCTTCTAAATTAATGTTGTGGGCGTACCGCTATATACACTCTTTTAACTTAAGTACTATGCGCTCGGCTACTTAAAAGCGATTTATGAAGTGTTGATAGCCCAATCGTCGATTTACAATGAGCGAAAAAAAAAGTAAGCGCAGAACAATATTTCTCACGCACTTCAATATGGCAACGTGAGATTACGGGTTCAACGTAGCGGGCTCCTAATTACAATCTGACAACAGTGTCGCAAAAGAGGCGACCCTTATCTTTTCTTACCAACCAAGCTTACTTATTCCTTAAAGTATTTTGTCATTTCAAGACTTGTTTATTATCAAGTCCTAGTCATCATCTTCATCAATTTTATTATTGATACCGATCGAAGTAAAAAAAGGACAGAAGAAGATCAATTTGGATTTGCGCGGGAGGTAATTCTAGCTTTACGGGTAACAATAGACTAAACTATAGAAATAGAAAAGAGCGTATACATAAGATTCGTAGATTTAGAAAAAGGTTTTCTCAATGTTAAATTGGACAAGATGTTTAAATATGATTAAATGATGAATAATTTCGTTACGGAAAATTTTTAGTTTCATTTTTATAAGAAACTACTCTTTAACCATTCCAGTTACCGTTGTTAAAGCAGAAAGGTCTTTCTCAAAATTGAAGACAATTAAAAGTTACCTACGGAATACGATAGGACACTAATGATTGAGGTCTCTAGCTATAATAGTCAAAAAGACTGATATTATGAATTTGGTGACAGNGGGATCGAAAGAGGGTGGTCACTTGAACAAAACCCGATAACCTAACCTAACCTACTCTATTGATAAAGATATTTAAATAATGTTTTATATAACTTTCTCAGTATTTTTATGTATTTTTCATTAGTTTTAGTTTTGAATATTGTTTCAGAATTGGCATATTTATTAACTTTGAACCCCCATAACTTTTTATGGGGGTGAGACCGCCAAGAACTTTTTATGGTACAGTAGTGGGGGAGACCTCCTCTTTCGATACCAACCCACCCCCACCTCCTTCGGGGTGGGATCGATCATCTAGACCTTTACCAATGTCTTTTCAATCCATCTTAACTTTTAAATAGAACAGTTGCTTATCTGCATTTTTGTTTTATTTCGTACATCAACTATTTCATTTAGCGAGTAATGCCGAGTTCTTGCACTTCGGAGACTTCAGCACAACTAATGAAATTGTAAAGTACCTCAGAAGACGGAAGATTAAGAACATGTCTGTCTAATCTTTGTGCATTAAATATTTCATGTTCCTTAGCTACTAGCAACACCATTGAAAATTTCAGTTCATAATCTCTGAACTTCTTAATCCGGGATTTGATAAACTTTGGTCGACGCCAATGTTTTGTACTATTATTCCCCCTTGGAATGTTAACATCGCAGCCCTTCATATATAATACGTCTGTTCGTTTGAATATAATCTCGTTTCGAATAATTTGCATATACAGAATTTGAGCGAAATGAAATTTTCACTGTAGACCAAAATTATTATCCAAAAGTTATCGGTTTATTGGAATGCAATTTAAATTGCATAGTAGATGATATACCTACTGTAATTGTTTTTTCAAATATGTCTTCGTATACAGAGTGTCTTACCGGACATATGGATATCTTTGTTAATAGTAGAGATAGAGGACGACTGTTTTTTCAAGGCACACCATCATATAATTCAATGAAATATTAATAATTCGGTTGGTGTTCTACGTCGTTTAGAATACGGCCGAATATAACTATAGAGTAGTTTTTTTTTGTATGCGTTCCGGCAATATAATTTTGGCTGATGTACCTAATTAATAATTGTGACTCTGGTATCATTCGATCGTGTTTTGAGTAGTATTCCAATGTAGCATGTGACATACCTACAAAATATCGCTGGATTGATACGTGAAAAAATCTACTTTTGCGTTCATAAAACAATCTGAAACCAGTGTATGTTTCTCGGAATTGATTGGATAAAATAAAATAAAAACTACACCATTCGAAAGCGTATAAAAAGTTAAGGAGAATGTTCTTGAAACAGATTATCGATAATTCGAAAAATACAAAAATTAGAGCGCTATTTCGAAATTGAACTAGTAGAAATTCGTCCATTATCGATGCGGAATGCCTAAGAAATTCTACATTATTTTCCCTATTTAACCGAGCTCCTGTCTCTATTTTTAATCAAGACACCATTTCAACTCAAGACCGGTGGGACGTATATTCGTTTTAAAAATTATATTCTTAATTTATGTTAGTAAAAAGGACTCTAGACAGTCTTTTATTAAATTTTGCTAAAGAAATGGAATATATGAAATGATTCGATATTATACATACCTTGCGAATGCCTCCATCGATGGCATCCCCTGATTTTTGATGACCGACCCATCGTGCCTCGACAAATTATGAGGCATTCCGGGTGAAAGTAGCGCAGAATGAGCAGCGGCGGGATGAGGAAGTTGCATAAAAGGCATGTGGCCACCCATATGAGGTGGTTGATTGTAACCATTCGCTAATAGAGGCGATTTTTCCAACCGAGAAATATCTGGAACAAAACGATAACAAATTTAATATGTCATAACATAAAAATATTATTAACTACTTTTGTGCTACATTGAATAAAACTTTTGCGTGCTTCTTTCCCACCAACTATTACTACTAATGGACAGGCGGTCGTTCCGATTCATACATTAGTACAAAGCCGGAGCGTAGGGCGGAAGACCCCTGTTTAACCTCTCTTTTAGGAATCGTAGAAATAGGTGTTATGGAGAGGCAGTTTAGAGGGACAAATGAGGACAGAAGAGGAAAAAAGAAGACAAAGTACATAATAAATAATCTGTGACAACAGAGGTATCTTTTTTATTGTTTTCACATGGGACTGTAGTCATTTGCTGCAATTTGAACACGCCCTTCTTAATTTAGGAAATGCTTCATGATTAATACAGACAAAATGAAAAGAGATAACTGAATAATAGAGAGCGGTGCATCGGTTAAAGGTTGCCTAGGTAACGCAAAAAATCAGGGTCGGCTTTATACTGCCTGGTTGGAATCATATTGTTCAACATACTTTAAAGTCCGATCTGACAACACTCAAATTTTGCTTGTCTACATCTTTTTCTATTACACTTTAATTAGTATAATGTTATTCCTTTTTCTTTTTTAATTTCCGCTGCAATTCCTACCTGACATCTCTTTTCTATGTTTACGATATTCCCTATAAGGCAGAGCCGGGCAAACTTTAACTTCGTAGGAGCCGCTACATGAGGTTAGTTTGAGTCACTCCATACCCTTCAATGAGTACGAGAGAGTAAGCAGTAATGACCCATATTGTTTTGTCTTTTTCTTCTCCCTTCCTATCCCATATCAAGCCCCTTCATCCCGTAGACGAGTGAAGCCACTCTCGCAACTTAAATAATACCTACGAAAATTTTCGTTACTACGTTCGCAAAACTATGGGGTTTGGCTATGGAACAGGGGACTCACCTGGAAGGCATAAGAAAAGGAAAGAATCATCTCACTCGCACTCGCAGGATCAATGAGGAGCTACTTGGTTAACCTTGAGGAGCACTCGGGAGTCAAAAGAGCCGAGTTTGCCCGGCTCTGCTATAAACCACTCTATTTTAGTTAGTGAATTGAAAGAAGACAGTTTTATTGCAGACTATGCCAGTTTCAAAACTGAATGTCCTAACTGTAGCAGATATTTAAAGTTAAGAGGTTTTTATTATTATTCATCCACAACTTTGTACCAAAACTCACAATCAGATACCGTTTCGTTCTTTTACAATCTACGTATTGCATATATCGATTCGTTAAAAAAGAAGTGCATTAGTTATTCAGGTGTGCTGAGTGACTTTTTTCGAATTACAAGAGAAAGTTTGATTGTGTGCTGAAAATTTTAGATATGTGTGTATTGCGCGCGTATATGTATATGTAGATATTGGTAACATTTTTTTGTACGAACTCCTACGCATTGTGCCGACATGCAACTACAGCAACAACCGACAACACATGAGTTAAATTATAACACGACATGACAGTAACCGATATCTATAATGGATATTTAACAAGGGAGAGATAAAATCCGTCATTCGTTACTGATTTCTTAATCAGACATTGGAAACAGGAAAAATTAAATAGGCCCATAACGATTACAATTCACTTCTAAATACAACTGTCAGTCCAGATTGAAAAATTAGTGTACCGCTAAACACTACTCGCAGGTGATACCATTAAATGATATATCGAACAATAAATTCGGAATTAATTAAGGAGGCGGTGGTGTGAACGCTGCACGGCTGTCACGATTGTAGATAAACGGAAGAATTGATGCTCAAAACAACTTGCAACATTGTTTTGTTCTTTTGTGGAATTTGAACACATTATTTATTTTCGTTATTTGAATGCGGAAATGGTTTACACTTCAAACAAATGGATGAATATTTTCTCAAAGTACTGATTTATTAAATGTAAACGAAACAATTGTTATTATGCAAGTATTGACGACATACGAAAATCCACAAAACGTTATGAAACCTAAATCACGTTTCGACGCCCAAGGTGTCATCCTCAATTAGAGACTAAATTAATCTTAACTCTAAACATAATTATATTGTTTCGATTTCCCTCTATGAATTTCAACCGAAACCAATAAAAACATGTAAAATTAAATTTGGTAAAAAGGGGTCTCTATTGGGGGTGGGGTTTTTGGGGTTCCCCTAGAGAAACTAACTGATAGTTAGGACAGCGAAGATTGAACGTTCAATACCCAACAAGAAGAATGAGCAGCTTTTCGTTAAACCACCTGTAACGTAAAATTAAACGCCTTGGCTATCAGGCAAAAGGAAACCTTTATGGTGGAATCACAAACCACCACAAAAAATTACTTGCAGTCTTATTCCAAAATTCCTAGCATTAAAAATGATGATAAGAATATTTGAACTATCCCCGTAATAATAATATGCTTTGTTATTATCTTTAGGAGTTTTTCCGATGAAGATTCATTTAGTAGTGGGTATTCAACGATAAAACTAATGAAAATGGTTTTATGTTTGACGGATTTAACATCATTCATTTAATATTGTTAATTAAGCACTAATTTTTCCCATTGGTTGTATCACAAGTCATTCTTAGCAATTTTCTATTTGATTGAAATCCCTTTAGCCGATTAGCTCGTACAGACAGAGAGACAGACATGTAGATACCCAGATATGTATTGGCGTATAGAAGTATAGATATGCAGGGTCAAGGATTTTCTTAAACGGTAAAACCCTCTCGCTGTTCTCTAACGAGTGATTAACATTGATTGCATTACATTATTCATTAATATTTTTACGAGTTGTGAAATAAATCTGTTTTCAATAGAAAACGGCTCATAAGCACCGGTCGTGATTGGCAGTAATCATCATAACTTGCCAAAAAATAAATTACTGCACATAATGAGGCTGCGCGTAGGAGAGAGTCCAGGGAGCAAATACACGGCCCCATGCCGGCTTACGATCCCACTCGTTTGGTCATCGGGCGGTTGAAAATGGACGTATAAATATTATCGGAAAATTAACGGGTAATTGGGTACTAATGTACTTTCTATATATTAAAAGCTCTGATTGATATGTATCATATCACGCAACAAACGAGCGTGACTTCTGAAAGGTTATGATGCCCAACATGCAGACGCAAGCACCTATACGAATTGAATTTTTTTAGATTAAAAATTGTAAGATCTAATATTTTCGTAGCTGACTGTTATTAATTGCATTAATGAAGATGAAATATAGGATTGGAGATGAAACTTTAAACCGCTCTATTCATAAATCTAGACAGTCCAAATAGAAAAATAGTGAAAGACTAGTCTGTAGGCGTTCTAATGTCAAATAAAACTGTTTAAGGATGTTTGGGAGGTACAATCGGAGACAAGAGTACATAAAATTAGAAATTCATCGTGATTAATTAGGTTTTGCAGCATATCATGAGGTAAATAAATACTATCCATACTAAAAAAAAAGTATACGGTTTGAGAGAAAATTTGGAATTTGACCAAAAACTTTGAATAAAATAAGAAATAACGAATAATATGGAAAATTTTTAACTGACTTTTGGCAGTGAATATGCCTTTATTTCAACTTCGAAACAAAAAAATATTTAGTTTCAATCTTTATTAATAATGAGCGTAAAACTTTTTAATATGTTTAAATAATAATTAAAACTTTAAAATTGCATTTATTTCAGACAATTATAAATATTATCATTATATTATCAAGTAAAAACGAGATTTTCAGCTAATTTTTCATTTTTTTCTCGATAACCATTTAGTGAATTTGAATAACCTTACGCTAAAGTGATTCTCCAGAGTTCAAGTTACTTATTATAAAAGTTTGAAATTTCTGGTAGCTTTTTTTCTGTTAATAAAAATAAATTTAATCTGTTCGGTCAACGAATCTCCATAAAATGACGTAAAATTACAATTTTTTAAAATTTCAATAACTCTTTAACGGTTTAGTGAATCGATTTGTAATTTTTACAGAAGTTTTAGAATTGAATGAGGAACGTTCTTCCAAATTTTCATTTGTCTCGTAGCATTTTGACATACCTCCCAAGCATCCTTAGTCTTGAAGAGGGTTAATTAAAAGTATAAGAATCCCTGCCACTTGAGTCTGTTCATGCAGTACAAACATTATCGATATTATTCTCAATAATTTCATATCATTTTATAGTTTACAAAACCTGCCGGCATGATTTCAGACAATAAAACAAAAAAAAACCAAAAACTTTATGGTTTTGTTTCGATGTCAGTCTTTAATTGTTAAGTGCCGTCTGTCTTAAAAGCCCGAACGTATAGCTATTGCAATAAAATTATATCGGTAGGTATCTTATCTGAATAAATAAAAAGCAATTAAATACTTGCTTTAGTTCACTGGCAAATACATTCAGAGGAGAACTTAACCGGTGAGACGATTCTTCGAGAACGCTCGAATTTAAAAAGATAGGCGATCAATTATTATTGGCGTTCAGATTCGATTTTAACCAAAAGCAATTAGTATAATGAGTTTTGGATTCTTCTCGAGGTCCTCAGAGGGCCACACAAGACAGGCAGAGTGATTAGCTCAGAGATCATCATCAATCATCGCAGTTGTCACTAACAGGTATGTTTCATTTGATACCCTCATCTTACACCTACTTTGTTAATGTTATATGAGATCTTAGACAGAAACAGTACTAAATTAATAACACGAGCATGTTACATAATTGGCCTGTCCCGCTCCAAGTTCCCGTTTTACAATTCCTAGTTTCAAGTCACATCCGTGACCTTTTGTTTTATAATCATCTGCTATGTACAGAGCGATTCAAATAAACTTCTCATCTTGATTATCTCTGATCATATGGGATTTTTATTAAACACGCTGATGCCATTTGAAGCTGTTAATAATTACTATTCTTGAGTGGGCATGGTTGATAAGTTACGTTATCGTCATAACAGGATCTTCAGCTTATTTACCAAAAGGAATCTAATCTAGGACTTGCTCTTCCCCTCTTAACTTCTGTTTCTCC